GGGATTAGGTTTATATTAGCAAACTAAACTCCGATCCGATGCTTACGTCTCATGCTTTGTGCAGAAAAGCCAAGTCGGCCAATCAGCGCGTTGGTATTTCCATCACTTTGGAAGTAGACATCCACAGCAGCGCGAAAGCTAAGAGAAACAAGGAGGAACCGCTCTGTGTGGTGACCGGAGACAAGACAACAAACATGGCTGCGCCCATCAGTTTAAAACTGTGGCATATTCACTTCTTACCTGTGTGCAATATTTCACGAAATACAATTTTAAAGATAAATTTTCATAGGTAGGACAGCATAGATAAATTATTACTGGAAATATAGTGGCGAGATAGTGCATGCGTATATTAGCGAGCGAGCCGTCCGCCCGTCTTTTGGACTGCCTACAATTAGGAAGGCAACTATTACCGTGACGGCTTGGCCTAATCAGCTCGGCTTAGCCTAATTGGGCCTGGTCTACCTTTAGCAAATTCTTTATATATTCTTCAAATCTATCGAATGTTACATTAAACTAAAGGTAAATCATATTTACGTATGATAAAAACAACATTTATTGATTGAATGTACGTTTTCGTACCAATAATCGATGGGGATTACTAACGATGGGCGTGGCCCGCCATCGGCTTAGTGCCACGCCCACTGGCTTCCATTTTGGAAAAACAAAATAGTCCGTCTATTTTGTTTTTCTGGCGAAAACCCTGCATGGCATCAGTGATGACTGTTTTGTTGTTCCAACAAACCCAGTATGGTCCAGTTATAATTAATGTCCAGCAACCACAAACTTAAACACAAAGCTTGGAATATTCACATGCTGGTACAGTGACGTGATGTTTCCAAACAGCTGGTCCAACTAGATGTCAAAGTGTTTATCAGCATAAACATAGCACATGATACTACTCAAACTCAATAACAGTATTCACTATTGAGTATTATCACTATATGTACATACTCAATCACATAAACAATCACAAATAGTAATCAATTGTACAAAATGCCAGTCCAAAAATTACGTTTCTGTTTATGAAGGGACAATGAATTATTATACGACTATGACAAACTTCAATCTTCTTATTTTGCTGTTATTTTTAATTTCACATCCAACAGCAATTACACTTGCCACTTAGGATGGAATGCTTTAAACCTGCGATATCATCAGTTCTGTAAACATATACAATGTTGCATGTTTTAAAACTTCATAGGGATTTCAATATGACTGTTATTCATATAGGCAAAGCTTATCTGCTTGATATAGATGAATTACATGATTTCTTGTATCCAATTTTGGCGTCTGTTGTTTTCCTCTTCTTTGTTTTGCTAATTTTCCTTCCGACGCTGGTTTTTCATGTTCTACGAGGAAAAAAAAAAAAAAAAAACCTCCCTCCCTACCATGAAATTTGATACCAAAAGGATGCTAACCAATTATTTTTTTTTACTTGGCCTAATTTACATATTTTAATAATGAGCGTCGATCGATGGGGGACAGGGGGACACGTTCTCACACCGCCCCACCCAAAAAAAAAAAGTTTAAAAAAACCAAAAAAACAAAAAATAAAAAACAAAAAATGTAAAGAAAGGGACATCATACCAATTGGCACATGACATTCTGTTTCATACAGTCTTGTACAAACAAAAAAAAGAAGTTTATTAAAAGTGTCGCATTATAATAATCATGTTTTAGAACATACCCATAAATAAACCTAAAATATAAATCTTTAAATGTAAATTGATGGGCTCAATTTGTAACTGGGTAGTTAATTTTCTAACGGAGCGTCCTCAACTTGTAAAAATTGGCCAGGTAGTGCCTGGAACCGTTTTCTTAACACCGAGTTCCCCCGCGCTGCATATTATCGCCCTTCCTATATTCCAACATTTGCGGATGACACTACCCTCTTAGGACTCATTACTGGAAATAATGAGCATAATTACAGATTTCAAGTCAACGTTATAGTGAACTAACAAAATCATACTAAATGTAACTAAAACAAGTAAAGAAGCTCTTAAAATAAATGGTAACCAGTCGAAGTTGTTGAGGAAATCAAATTTCTCGGGATTCACATCTCCAATGATCTAAAATGGCAATCAAATCCTCAATTAAGAGGGCCAGAAACGCATGTTCTTCTTGTACGCATTAAAATCTCTTGGTATGCGACCTGAAATATTAATTGTATTGTTTTTAAAATGTTTCTTTAAAACAATGAGAAGTGGTCGCCGTTACAAGAGTTTAAATGCCAACAAAACAAGGTAAATAAACAATTTCTACCCATCAGCCATTAGGCCCCTAAATAATACCCTTTAAATTGTAAACAGTGGGGTATGCAGACTGTAGCCCTAAGATATGAACAACCCTACCCCAGGATGCATAGATTATGGATTTTTCGTGTACTTTTAATTTATTTACTTAACTTGGTTGGATGTTGTACCATTAGTAAAAAAAAATTCTATGTCTCTGAAAATGACGATAAAATATATCTGTATTATACAAATATAAAAGCAATAAGACGATGTACAATCATAGAATGTTGTCGAATGGAACACAAATTTATTATAATATCAAACTGATATTTCGATAGCTCCTTCATTTATTAACGTTACAAAGAGTAAAATCGGGAGATTTCAACCATTTTTTTTATTGCACAAGAAACGTGGCTTCGACGCATGTAGGCCTACAGGTATTATTTTACACCCCTACTTCACTGTAAAAAAATTTCTGTACTTCAACTGATGATTTTGTAAACATACATTGGAATTCGTATGTAGCTGAACAAAGTTAGCTTTGTAATAGTCAGTTATGTTTTGTTACAAAAGATTCTGTAGTAATACAAACAAATCGCTATGCGACAGATAGGCCTACATACTGTTACAGTAGTTTTGTGTATACGTCTGTTGTGCAACAAAATGATTCTGTAAACATACAGTGGAAGTCGTATGTAACTGCACACAGTTAGCATTGTAACAGTTAGTTATGTTTGGTTACAAAAGATTCTGTAGCAGTACTGAATTGGAAAAGGACTAAATTGACCAGTTGAATTCGCTCTGTATTGCACAACTTGCGTCCCATACAATTGAAACTGACGGCAGGTGTTGAATGGAGAGAAGTAAGGCAGAAGCAAGAAGGGAAACATTTGACCACGTTTGGTTTATATTTAATTAATTTAATGTTTGTTGTTTTGAAACTTAATTGGATTGGACAGTTGCTTTATGCATGTTGGATGACCGTGTGAGTTATACATAATTGTTTTGATTACTTACTTCAGTTGTTCATTATTACAACTACAAAGGTGTTAGGCATAGGCCTAACAGTCAGTGATGAATCGCCGCATCTTACATACAGTACATGATCGTTGCCAATGGCAACATTGGCATTCAGGAGTGTGTCTCCTGATGAGTAGTCGTAGCCTAAGCCTATGGCTGCAGAATGCAGAGCAATACCATTTATAAAGTTGTTAATACTGTAATAATATATAAAATAGTTTAAATCAGTATGAGGTGACTTAGAATTTAGTACTGCATAGTTTGTTATTGTTACACAGTATTTTGATGTGTTGCAGGTTTTACCAATAGAATAAAGAGGTGAAAGCACTAAGTCCAAACAGATCCTGTATCAATTTGTCTAATCCGAATTAAGTACAAATAATTAATTATCATTAGGCCTCATTAATTAATTATTTATTCATATATCTAATTATTTCTATTGTCATTGGTATCATCCTCCATGTGGTAGTGATATGTCATTTCAGGTCCCTCCCCCTCCCCATACCCGGCGGAGTGAATGACATCATTATATGCCCTGCCGTCATTGGCCACTCATTTAACCTTACGAAACTGACCAATGGAAACCTACGATCCACATTCAAATTCATTGTGTGTACCAGGTACTGGAGTCTACCAATGTTTGACAAATATCTGTGATTTTAAGGTACAAAATACAACAATAATAGCTGGTGTGCTCACTGATAACTACAAAGCAAGGATAATTCATTGATGCAAGGTTTAATATTCAACACAACTTGATCGATTGATTGAATGTTTCATACAGCCTCTAGCTAGCCGACGAAGCCGTAGCCTGGCTGGGCCAGTGCTAGCTGCTAGTTAGGCCTAGGCTAGCTAGGACGGTGCCCTGATGATGCAGTGTTGGTAGAAAAGGTAAGATAAGAATACGATACAACCATACTAATGTAAAAAAAATAATTTAAAAAAAACCAGGGTAGAATGGGCCTAGGGCTACCCTAGCTACCTACTATTATTATTACTGTATTATTATTATTATTATTATTGTTATTATTATTATAATAACAATAATTATTATTATTATTATCTATACATTTTCAATAAAATGGTAATATACAACAATACAAATACAGTGTTGACAAATTAATAATAATAGTTATATCATGGCTAAACCAAATGTTAACCTCTCTCACTATTATTTCTCTGTTAATTCTAGAACTTTAACAAAGACATGATGTTAGCAGATGTAATCATCACATTCTGCAAGGAAGCCGGAGACATACTACAAAACTTAAGTATGCTTACAGATGACAGTAGGGTAATCAAAATGCGATACTCTTATTCAGAAGAGCAAGGTATGTTCATATTCTTTTATCGCTTTAAAATTGTCAGTTGAGTGGTTTTTTTCATGACAGGGCAGCATACTACACCCTTAAGCAAATAATAAAGATTATATTTTAAAGCATTAATTGTTATAGTATATATCTGTACTGTAAATAATTAAAGATTATATTCTAAAGCATTAATTGTTATGTAGTATATATCTATACTGTAAATAATTAAAGATTATATTGTAAACCATTAATTGTATAGTTTATATATAAATGCAGTAAAAGATTAGTGCAAGATCCTGATATCTAAACCCTTATCTTGAAGTTGATTTTGAGCCTTGTTTGAGTTGACTTCCTTTTCATTTTACATTACTGTAAAATGTTCTTATGTATTTTATGATGCCGCCGCCACCACTGTCACTGTTCGCATATTTTGAAACAAATTTGAATCTAAATAAATTTGCTTCAGCTGTATATAATATAATAATATACTTATATTATTTTGAATATAACGATTAATTTAGGATTTACAAAGTAGTAATATATTCCCATTACAATTTGTCATTGCAGATGGATATGGAGACGACATTGCAGATGGATATGGAGACGACTGATTCAACAATAGATCGTAGGACCAGCTGGACCCATACCAAAGACCTAGACTAGGGACCAGCCTAACTACACGTGGCCCTGACACAACAAAACAACTCATAAGTTGATGTTTTGAGAAACCCTTGGAAATATTGATGTAAACTTCCATCTAATTTAAATCAAAAATATACTAAATACAGTTGATTTTTTAAAGATACATCTATTGACAATGTGAATTTTCATTTTTTATTCTCTTCTTAATGCAATAAGACAAATCTCATTTTAAGGTCGTTTTTAAAGTCATCGTGAATATTTATAGCTTGTAGGGGTTTTTGTGTTTAAAAAGGACAAATCAATATGCTTAAAATAATATATTTAATAACAACAATTAGAGTGTATACAAAAACTATCTTTAATGACTGAACTTGGGATGAATTGGCACTGTTAATTATTATTTTTAATTGTAATTTAATAAATAAATTCGATATACACAACGATTAGAAATTGGAAATTTACAATGGCGAAGAAAAGAGAATAAATTTAGCCTTTCAAATATTTATTGAGGAGGAAAGTGGTTCTTTGATGTTAACTAAGAATAATGTAGAAGGAAAATATTCGTAATGTATCATGTGTAATTGGAAAATAAATTGTATTTAGTTTATAATAATGAGATATGCATTCGTGAATCATTTTGACTGTTATTTGCATGCTAGTCTAAATCTTGACAAACATACGGGTTTTCATAAGTCATAAACTTGATGATGTCTGGTTCTTAAATGTATTTTCAAGTCATTGAATTTAAAGAAATTAAAACACTGCCCTCAACCACACAATTCGCTTTATTCATGACGTAGATATAAAGCATAAACTTTATGACTTTTGATTATTTTACCATGATTTTACTACTGTAGTGTAGATTATTGCAGTTGGTGTATAGTATTATAGTATATTCAAGTAATTGAATTTGAAGAAAAGGACACTGCCCTCAA